GCACTGCAGTCACTCTCGTGTCTCCTGTGGTACCTAGCATGGTGTGTAGTGCGGCGTCTATAGAATGTCCCAGAATCCCTCAGGGTTAAAATGAACTGCGCTGAGGTTAATGCACACTCAGTGCCTCTGGTAAAGAGAGGTGCTCAAGAGGCCAGTGTATAAAGAATTTTGAAAAAGTATTTTTTTGACTGGGTTCTCCATCAGCAAAAAAAAAAAAAAAAAGAATGTGTGTATGTGTGTGTATGTGCACAGATGTATAAAATGAGCATATATGGGGCGCCTGGGTGGCTCAGTTGGTTAAGCAACTGCCTTCGGCTCAGGTCATGATCCTGGAGTCCCGGGATCGAGTCCCGCATCGGGCTCCCTGCTTGGCAGGGAGCCTGCTTCTCCCTCTGACCCTCCCCCCTCTCATGTGCTCTCTGTCTCTCTCATTCTCTCTGTCTCAAATAAATAAATAAAATCTTTAAAAATAAAATAAAATGAGCATATATGGATATGCAATATTTATATACTGAGTTAAAATCTTATGCATGTTGAAATAAAAACTCATATTTATATTTACTTATATACACACATTCATATGTAAAATAGGTGTTTTTTATGGTACTCCAAAAGATGATCTTTGCCCACCACAGGGGTGAACACACCCCACTTTGAAGACTATCACAAGTTGGCAAGGCTAAGCAAAGTTGCAGAAGTGGTGATGTGAAGTTATCAAGCTGGCAAGCCCCCCACGTCCTCAGGGATGACTGCCAAGATGGTACGGGGCCCCCATTCCTCACTTCTCATAGAACCCTGTGTAGATAAAGAAGTAAAATGGAGTCAACTGAATGGGTTGTGGTTATCAGGACACCACACGCTGGAGCTGGCCACAGTTGCAAAATTCAACTCTGTATCTGGCAGCTAGTTCAGAAAAGAAATACACAAAGCTAAAAGTAAGCAAGAATCAAGTGACCTTTTCCTAGCAACAGAAAGGGAGGGAGAACACGCAAATGCTATTCTCAGGGTCTTTGGGGGATAGCCAGCCAAGAGAAGAGCCTAGAAGCCCTGAAGCTTGAGTGCTTGTGGCTAAAGGTGAGCCAACTCTGTTTTTCCAGAAAAGGTGCTCCTGCCCAAAGAAAAACTATCAGAAATCTGCCTTCAGCCCTGAATAGTCACCCAATCCATACTGACAAGGAGGCGTCTTGCTGAGCAATACATCATTTATCCAAATGCCTATTAAATGTCTCAACCTGGAATTCCCACGAGGAACTCAGTACACTCTCAAATTGATCCAAGCCCCAGGCCTGCCCCACCTGGAGTGTAACTGTTTCTGAGTTTCGGACCCCATCATCTACACAAACCAGAAATATGGCCGACAGATCCTTCCCACTTCTCCTTCATAACCAGGAGGTCCCTTCAATTCCACCCGTTAAAACTGTCCAGTCCTCCCTGTTCACACTCCCCCTTGCTTCAGTCCAGACCCTCCTTATGTCCCACCTAGGCTCTTACTAGGTCTTCTCTGGGCTCTGCCCAAACTCTTGCCCTTTCAATGCAACTTCCATTCTGCAAAGCGACCTTCCTAATACCTGAACTCCTTAGCATGCCATACAAAAACATTCTTGGGGATATTCTTCTCTCACCTGCATACTTCATCCCCCAGGAATAATAAACCACCTATCAGTCTCCAAACAATCCATGCTAGTTCACATAAATATGCTTTTCATGTGCCAGAAAGGTCCAAAGTATCCTTTCAATTCAAACTTCCCTTTCCCTGTTGCAAGGATAACTTCTTGAAAAAACAAGACCCTACTTCCCTAGGCAGCTAGCATCGTGACATATCACTCTCTCCCTTACAAAGACTATTGTCCATCAGGTGTTATCCACAGGCCCAACCTAAGGCCCCTCCGGGATAATACTTATAGATACAACACACCGCTGCGTTCACAGCTAGAGAGACACACTAATGGAAAAAAAATCATACAGACACAATAGGCAGAAAACTCAGAAGCAAAGAAAAGCAAAGATGACCAGAACCCCTAGAAAATGGGCCCATGTAATCTGGGTGACAGGTGAAGAAATTACTTTCAGTCCTAGATCTGTATCATTCTGTACAAAGAAGCATAACAGGTGGCATCCCACTGTGATTAAGAGCATGGACTCCAGAACCAAACTGCCAAGATTTGAATCTTGTATCTGTTACTTACAGACTGCTTAAACTTACTCCTTAAACTTTCTGTGCCTCAGTTTCCTTATCTGAAAAGTGGGTTGTTCTGGGAATGAAAAGAGTTCATACATGTACAGCACTCTGGCACACTGTAAGTACACAGAAGTGCTAGCTCTTATGATGTTCTTAAGGTGAAGTCAAAAAGGAAGAACCAAAACAGCTTTTTATGTTGAAAAACAAAACAAAGCAAAACAAAGCTACCTATGTCCATAGGTGTAAATCAGCTGTAGGCTCCACATTCCAACTCTGAGATTTTAAATCATTCCTCCCCTTAAGCCAAGACAACTCAGGGATCCAGGGTCTTAGATTATCCCAGCACAGATACTGGGGTGTGTCTCCTCAGTTCCCTCTCACCCGGGCCATAAGCCATGAATTTATGGAACTTCAGCATGGCTGCAGGACAAGACCGGGAATGCCTTTTTAATTCCAAGTGTCCTGCTTTCCTCTCTTAAAGGTGATTAGGATAGTGCTTCCTCAGCCTAGAAATGACTAATGAGAAATGAAAGAGAATTAGGGTTCTCTACTTAACATTTTCACTAGGTTTCCTTAAAAGAAGGCTAAATAACAAAACCCAATGACCTCCCTTTCTATTTATAAACAATAAAGAGCATAATTAGAGCAAACATCACCGAAAACTGAGGGTCCTGTGCTCTGGTCACACTGTTTTCACCTTCTCCTGTAAGCAGTAGCTTGCTACCCTTCCCTTGCTACGTGCTGCTTTCACAAGCCAGCTGTTCCCACCAGGATGAGGACTCAGGTAACAATAACCAGGCTTTATTGAGAACTTCCTGAATGTTAAGACTTTCGCTCACATTATTATAGCCGGCCAAGAGTTGTCTCCCCCAATCCATTCTCCTCTTCTCCCACCATGGAGAGCTTCATTTGACCAATGTGAGTGAGGACAATGGGAGCAGATGCCTCAAGCACAGGGAGCGAGCCCCATGCTGTGGATGGCGGAGCTGCCTCACCCATGTGGGTCCCTGGATGATCCCATGGGACAGGACCTACCCTGAATAGTTACTGGAGAAGGACAAACTTCCAACTAACTGAGGGATCTCTTTGTTAGCCAAACACCAGCTGATATAATGACCTGAGTTAATCCCTAAAATACAGAGGGAAAGAATGGTATTTGTACCTCTTACCTTCTAGGGCTACTATAAGGATATAATGAGAGGCTGCATGTGGAGTCCTTATAATAAATATTTGGAGTACTATTATTATCCCCATTTTACAGATGAGGATGTAGTAAAATGCTGAAGATCATACAGTTAGTATGTGGTAGAGCCAGGACTGGAATTCAGACATCCAACCCCAGAGCCGATCTTATAATCCCCACGCTATCCTGCTTCAAGAAGGACAAAACGAGATAATATATAAAGAGCCTTGTGGAGCCACGGGGTTGGTACCTAACTATGCTCAAGACAGCATCGCTGTTGAGAGCGTGGGCTGTGGAAGCTGATGGACATCCAGCGACATCCAATCTTGCCCTGCTATTACTAGATCTGTGACAGGCACAGGCCCTGGTTTTCTCATGTGTAAAATGGGTGATGCCACCAATCTCATGGAGCTATAGTGAGGAAGGAAGCTACCATGTACAAAGAGCTTCTGACACAGCCAGGCACAGATCCGTGTTCAATAATACAGGTCTCAGGAGGAAGCAGGAGAGAACTGGGGTCTCTTGCCCCTCCTCCGGCCGCTCACCCCTTTTTTGGGGGGTGAACACAAAATAATAACCAACATTTGTGCAACTTTCCAACTTGGAGAGCAGCACCGCATCATCTCTTCACTATAAGCCCAGGAGGGAGGTAAGGCAGCAATGACTGTGATTCCCATTCTGTGGATAGGAAACTGAGGCCCAAATATTCTCAGAATCATATTAAAAGTAAGAGGCAGGCCAGGATTCAGACTCAGCTCCAAACTCGGATCGTCATGCTGTATAGCCCCTCACCCAGCTGCCTCTTCTCCCAAAACGTTCTGGGTCAGACAGTGGAGCGTTTCTCCACGAATGAACGAATGAAATATTTTTAATGTCTTAATCAATTTAACAAATGGAAGGAGGGTGTCAAGTGGCTCAATCGGGGTCCCAGTGCAGGGTGTCTGTGGGTCCCTGGCCCCACCAGCCTCAGTTTCCCAATCACTAAAATCAGGTTGCCCACACCTCCTCTGTAAGGACATCAAATGAAGCGCTGCATGTGAATGCAAATGAACCACCCGACACAATGTACCAGGCACATATGAGTTTCTACAAATGGCAACAAAATCTGACTAACCGTTGTTCCTGGGCAATACCTGCCAGGCACAGAGGGAGACCCTACGGGGCCGAGCTGGACAGCAGTCGTCCGGGAAAGTGAAAGAGGAGCCGGTTTGGCGGACCAGAGAAACTGGCCGCCAGGGACAGGCACTGCTCTACTAGGGTGACCCGGCGGCGTCTCGGGCCGGGCCTGGGGACTCCGGCTCCCGCAGAGGGCGCGCCCCAAGTCCCACCTGTCGCAGCAGGCAGGCCGGCGGGGGCCCGCACCCACCACTCCCGAGGCCAGCCCCGGGGCCCCTCTGCTCGCTGTAGGGGAGATCCCGGCGCCAGAGTCCGAGAGGACACGGCCAGGTCGGAGCCAGGAGTCTGGACGCGGGTCTTCCGACTTCCCCACGAAAGTAGGCGGAGAGGTTTTCGGATGGCTAGCGCCGCGCGAGAACCCCACCGCAACGGAAAGAAACAGACCCCACCGGCGCCTCCTCCACGTGGCTCCCGCTCCCCTCCGCCAGTCCCCCCTCCTCCTCCGCACCCCCAACTCCCTACCTGCCGAAGTGCCCCACGCGGTCAAAAATCAGCTCGAAATTGTGGGACCGCATGGTGCCGCGGTGCACTGCGCTCCCACGCTGGACACGCCGAGCTCGCCGAGAGCCGGGGGCCCGCGGACAGCGCGCCCCGCCCCGCCCCGCCCCGCCCCGGCCGTGCCCGCCGCGCCCCGGGGGGCCAGCCCGGCAGTCTGAGTCCCCCGCGCGCCAGAGGGCGCGGGCCGCGCGCGGGGCCGGGCTGGTTCCTCCCTCCGAGGCGCCATCTCTCCTCCCCGCCAGCGCAGTCTCCCGCTTCTCCCCGCCGCCGCGGCCTCGTCCCGGCTGCGCTGTGGTCCCGGGAGCCCGCCGCCGCGTCCGCGTGGTCGCGCCTCTCTGCCTCTCCCTCCCTCTCCTTCTCTCTCTCTCTCTCTCTCTCTCTCTCTCTCTCTCTCGGTCGTCGCAGTGCCTCGGGACAGCCCGAGGGAGGAATGAGAGGCCCGGGTTAGGTTTGGGGGCTGCAAGAACCTAGCATCTTTGAAAAGCCGCGCCTTCCAAGCGTGGCTCTCCAACTTGCGTGCTGAAGGGTGTCCTGCAGAATTTGGTTTTCTATGTACGTTTCTGGACTCCACTTTTTTAAGATTTTATTTATTTATTTATTTTATTTGAGAGAGAGAGAGAGAGAAACAGCATGAGAGGGGAGAGGGCCAGAGGGAGAAGGAGGCTCCCCGCCAAGCCGGGAGCCCGATGTGGGACTCGATCCCCAGGACTCGGGGACCATGACCCGAGCCCAAGGCAGTCGCTCAACCAACTGAGCCACCCAGGCGCCCTCTGGACTCCCCTCTTGACCAGGACAAATACCGCTTTCTCAGAGAAGGCCAACGGTTTGAGGGCCAGGACAGGGTCTCCAAGAGCAGAGCATAAAGAAGGGATTCTGATGAGCCTGAGAAGTGACAGGCTCTGGCAGGGCTGTGTTCAAGCTTGTATGTTTCCCAAAGAGCAAAGGAACTCTCTGGGTAGAGACTCAGGCAGAATTAGTACCAGCAAGAAACTTGTGCTTGAACAGAATTTGAAAAACCGAGGGAAGTGCCCTCCCAAAGTATTTCCCTCACCTACTGGTATATTCTAGATACCTCTCCTCTGTCAGTTAAAGGTTATGAAACATTGTATTTTCAATCCATTTATGGTGTTTTTCAATGATCAGAAGTGGTATTTTTTATTTTAATGAAGTCAAATTCATAAATATTTTCCTTTAGAACTTGTGATTTTGTAATTTGTTTAAAAAATTCTGCTTTACCATGAGGTCACAAAAATATTCTGTTATATTTTCTTCTAAAAGTTTTAGCTTTTGGCTTTTCTCATTTAGGTCTTAAATCCACTGGAAGAGATTGTTTGGTTTAAGATGGCGATCCAATTTTGGGTTTTTCCATGCAGATAAAAAATTGTCCCAGCCCCATTTATTGAATACTCTGCATTTTCTCTGCATTGCCACCTCGTCATCTATAAACTTTCTATTTTTGTGTGGGTTTGTTCTGGGCTCTCTAAATCTGTTCCATTGATCTATTTCTTTTTCCCTGTGCCCATGTGTCTTTATTATTATAGTTTTATACAATCTGCTCCAATCAATCTTTTATTACTACTCTAAAATACCTCTTATCAAAGTCACCATGATCTCCATGTTGCCAAAGCCAATGGTCAATTCTCAATCCTTATTTAATTCCCACTGTTCAAGAAAAATTATTTTAAAAGGTATAATCATGGAGCACCTGGGTGGCTTAGTCAGTTAAGCATCTGCCTTTGGCTCAGGTCATGACCCCAGAGTCCTGGGATCGAGCCCCGCATCGGGCTCCCTGCTCAGCAAGGAGTCTGCTTCTCCCTCTCCCACTCCCCCTGCTTGTGTTCCTGCTCTCGCTGTGTCTCTCTCTGTCAAATTAAATAAATCTTAAAAAAAAATTTTTCCCATCTCAAAGTGTTTGACAATGTTTCCTGTTACCACAATATCAGTTTGTCTTTCTTAAAAACATCTTGTGTTTTAAGCCTGTGCTTCCCCAGTCCCATGATTTTTCTCTTACTTTCCAGCTTGCTGTTCTCTGTCACTTAGATCCTCCTCCTTTTCCCATTTTCTCTCAATGTTGGAGTGGCCCAGGGCTCTGAACTCTTCTCTTTTTACATTCTCCCTCAGTAGCATAACGCAGTCCAACTACAGTCCATGGGCGAAATCTGGTCTGCTACCTGCTCTAGCAAATAAAGTTTTATTGGAATACAGTCATGCTCGTTCCTTCATATATTGTCTATGGCTGCCCTCATACAGCAATGCCAGACTTGAGTAGTTGTGACAGACTGTATGGTCCACAAAGCCTCAAATTGTACTATCCGACCCTTTACAGTAAAGGTTTACTGACCCATGATCTACTCCTATGGCTTTTAATGACTCCCAGATCCACATGTCCAAGCTGACCTCAGCCCAGTACTCCAGACTTGTAAATGCCACCACCTCATCCACAGGTCTAAAAGCCACCTCAGACTTACCATGATCACCTTCATTCCCACTCCTCTCCACCATTTCCCATCTCAGCAAATGGCACCTCTTGCACCAGTTGCTTAGGCCAAAACCCCTGGTGTCTCCTTTTATCCCTCTCCTGTTTTCATACTCCACACCCTTTTCCATCAGAAAATTCCAGGTGCTCCGCCTTTATGACAGAGCTTGATTCTGTCTACCCCCACTGCTAACCTTCTTGTCCAAACTATCATCTCCAGCCCAGATTATACAACATCCTCCTAACTGGTCTCCATGCTTCCTCCCTTGCCCCCACACAGCTCCTTAAAATATAATTCCGGGTAAGACATTCCCTTGCTTGGCAGCTTTCTGTCACTGTTAGAATAAAACCCAAAGTCCTGACATGGCCCTGTCTGTTCCTCTGACTCATCTCCCACCTTTTTCTCAACCACTACTCTACTCCAGCCTCCTTGCTCGTCCTAACCCACATCCCAGTCCCCGAACTTTTACACTTGCTATCCCCTCTACTTGAAACTTTTTTCCACTTTGACTTTCTATTTATTTTTCAACTTAAAAATATGCCCCCCCCAATAAAATAGCCACAACAATAAAAACAAACAAATCATCCCCACCAACAGTCTGGAACTTTTCCTGGACCTTTATGTAGATAAAATTGACATATAACATTGTGTTAGTTTAAGGTGTACAATTCGTCTTATCATTGGAAATCTATACCCTTTGACCACCTTCACCCATTTCTCCCAACCCCACCCTCACCCCTGGAAACCACCGATCTACTCTCTGTTTCTATGAGTTCAGTTTCCTCTACTTAAGACTTCTGTCTCCAAGAAGCCACAGGGCTCATTTCCTTACTTCAGTCAGGTCACTATTCAAATGTTGCTTCTTCTGGGAAGATTTCTCTGCTCCTCCTACAACATCAGTCCTCATCACTCTCTAGCCCCTTACTAGGCTACCCTGCTGTATTTTTCTTCAACCTGAGATGTATACATATAATTTGATATCACTGCCATAAAGTATAAACTCCATGAGAGCAGGGACTTAGACATATGGTAGATGCTCAGTAAGTATGTGTGGAATGAATGAGTAAATATAATCCAAATGGGGGAATATTGAAACAAAATTTAAGCAATTTCCTAAGAGCACCAGTTTCTCCACACATGAATGGAAGAGGACAAAGGGCCTAGCTCAAATCCTACCGCAGCTTAGGCAAGTCTTGGGATTTCCTTAAAAGGAGTCCACTAACAAAACACTTGCCCTCTTAGAAATCCAGTGAGATAATTCTAACACAAATACGGGGCAAATGTATTTCTTCAAGTAAGTGGAAATGGGACGGGGGAATAGAGAGAGGAGAAAGGCAGGGACCCAAGAAAAACAACATTTGTGCATCCTTCTAAATCTAGATGGATTAGTTTCAATTGGGTGACTTGGAATCCCCCACATGGGAGTAAATATTCTGATGCCCTGTGGCCTCACGGCTTCCAGGTCCCAACCCTCATCTCAGCCTGGACTTTCTGCTCAAAGTTTCCTTGGAGCAACATCTAGGTCCCTAAGAGGTATCCACAAATTGGAGAGAAATCAAAGAGCAAATGGTGATTAAGTTAATTGATGGGCAAAGGGTGACCCACAGTGGTGCCCCGGTGGCTCAGTCGGTTAAGCATCTGAATCTTGATTTTGGCTCAGGTCATCATCTCAAGTCTCCTGTCAACTCCTCACTGGGTGTGGAGGCTGCTTAAGATTCTCTCTCTCCCTCTCCCCCGTCTCTCAACCCCCAAACTCATGCGCACATGCACACATACCATCTTTCTCAAAAACAAAGAAAAAAAAGTGACCAAGAGCCTTACTTATAAAAGGCTAAGTATGCATCAGATTATAAGGTTAGTAATAAATGTATGGAAATGGGTTTTCTGCCCATGGCTAAGAAATCACCAACAGAGCAGGAATGGGATTTGGTGTGTGGGGGTGGGGTGGGGGGACAGGTAGCAGCCCACACAGTTCCTGCCAGAGGAGGTTTGCAAGCCAGTTCTCACAGGCTCTGTCCCACTTTGTCCTCCCCATGCCCTAGACAGACTGCCACATGCTACTGAACTGAAGTCCTTCCTCAGCAGAGCCTGCCTGAGGGGAAATTCTGGAGGAAAGCTTTGTCTTGGCACCCTCGCATTTCCCTGACCACACTTCCCTCCAACTCCAGGGACCCCATCACCTCTGTCTCCAGGGGCTCCAGGTTGGGATTGGTCTCCAAGTGCCACTTCCACTCCCACCCCCACCTCACTCTGGGTCCCACCCAGATGAAGCTTCCCAGCGAAAACTACCTCTTCTTCCTCGGTCAAAGCTCTACTGCCCAGGGTTTTCTTTTTTTTTAATTAGGAAAATACCTTTATTATTTTTGAAATGTTCCAATACTCAGTGGAAAAACCATGAGAGTGGCTTTTTCACAACTTCACCAATTACAGAAAAATGACTTTCCACCTTCTTTACAGAAATCTACCCTCCAAATCAGACAGGGCTCCATGATGGCTGAAACAGGGCAGGACGAAGGGCAGAGAATCAGCAAGGAGAACTGCAGCTGCCGGGGCAGCCTGAGGGTTTCTCTGCACTTTGAAAGCCCAGGTTGAGTCCCGAAGGGCTGT